GATCCCAAATAAAGAAAACAAAAATTAACAAAATTAAAGAGAAAAACTGACAAATCCACAATCACAAAGACGTTATGTCCTTCTCTCAGAAACTGATCAAACAAATCGACAAAAAAAGAAATCAATAAGGATATAAAATATTTGAATGCTATCAACTTGACCTAATAGACATTTATAGAACAGTATACTCAATAACAGCAGAATACATACTTTTCAAGTGCATGGCAACATTCACTAAGATAGACCAGATGTTAGGCGATAAAAAAGTTTTAATTAGTATAGAGGAATGAAATCATACCAAATATATTTTCTAATCACAACAGAATTAAATTAGAAATCAATAAAGTTCTGAATGTTTTTCAATATTTAGAAATTAAACAATGTACTTCCTAGTAACCTACAGGTCAAAGAAAACTATTACAGGAGAAATTTTAAAATAGTTTGAACTGAATAACAAAACTACAGATATCTGGGCTTCCCTGGTGGCGCCGTGGTTGAGAGTCTGCCTGCCAATGCAGGGGACACGGGTTTGTGCCCCAGTCCGGGAGGATCCCGTGTGCCGCAGAGCAGCTGGGCCCGTGAGCCATGGCCGCTGAGCCTGCGCGTACGGAGCCTGTGCTCTGCAATGGGAGAGGCCACAACGGTGAGAGGCCCATGTACCGCAAAAAAAAAAAAAAAAAAATACACATATCAAAATTTGTGGAATGTAGCTAAAGCAGCGCTCCTGGCTTAGAGAGAAATTTATAACTTTAAGTGACTATGTAAGTATGTAAGAAAAGAAGAGAGGTGTACAATCAATGATGCGTGTTTCTACATTTATAAACTAGGCAAATAAAAGCAAGTAAGTAGAAGAAAGGATATCATAAAATTAAAAGCAGAGACTAAGTGAAATGACAAATATCAACAAAGTAAAAGTTGTTCTTGGCAAAGATTAAAGAAATAGATAAACATTTAGCAAGCCTTGTCAGGAAAAAAGAAATAGAAAACACAAATTACCAATATAAAGAATCAAAGGGAAAACATAACTACATAACTTAAGCAATAAAAGGAGAATAAGAAGATAGTACAAACATTATGACAATAAGACTTCTTAAATGAAATGGACAAATTCTTGAAAAACACAGTTCACCTATGTTGACAAAACAGAAAACAGAAAATCTGAATAGCCCTATAGCCTCCAAAAATAATTAAATTCATGACTGCAAAACTTCCCACAAAGAAAACTTCAGGCCCAGATGACTTTCCTAGTAAATTCTATTAAACATTTAAATAAGAAACAATGGCAATCTTACACAAACTTTTTCAGAAAAGACAGAAAATGGAATCATTTCCCAATTCTTTTATGGAGCCAGCATAACCATGATACTAAATTTAGACACAGACATACAAGAAAAGAAAATTATATCAGTATACACCATGAACGCAGACATAAAAGAACAGCAACTGGAATCCTGCAATACATAAAAAACACAATACTTCATGAACAAGTAAGATTTGTTTATCCTAGGTATGCAAAATAAGTTTAACATGAGAAAAATCAATATAATTCAGTATATTAATAGGTTAAATAAGGAAAACTAATACATGCAAACTTCAATAAATGTAAAAAAAAAAAATCTAATAAAGTTTAATACCCATTCATGATAAATACTCTCAGCGGCTAGGAATAGGAAAAATTTCCCCAAGCTGATAAAGGGCATCTTAAAAAACACAGCTAACGGGCTTCCCTGGTGGCGCAGTGCTTGAGAGTCCGCCTGCCGATGCAGGAGATGCGGGTTCGTGCCCCGTTTCGGGAAGATCCCACATGCCGCGGAGCGGCTGGGCCCGTGAGCCATGGCCACTGAGCCTGCGCGTCCGGAGCCTGTGCTCCGCAAATGGGAGAGGCCACAACAGTGAGAGGCCCGCATAACGCAAGGAAAAAAAAAAAAAAAAAAATTCCATGCTCTTGAAACAAACAAGCAAAAAGTCCTATCTCTGGATTTGTCGCTTAAGCATGGCAGCTTTCTAGACTAAGATATATTGAAGGTTTCCCCCCTAAAATCAGGAACAAGGCAAGGATATTTCCTCTCACACTTCAGTTGAACACTGTAATAGAAGCACATAACTAGTGCATTAAAGCAAGAAAAATATATAAAAGGCATACAGATTACAAAGAATTAAAGCTCTCTTCATTTGCAAATGGCATAATTGTGTTGGTATAAAATTCTAAGAATCTACAAAAACAGCTACAGGACAACTGACAAGCAAATTACCAAGACTGTGGAATACAAGATCATTATATAAAAATAAACTACCAAAAACATTTCTAAAAACTAGAAATAAATCTAAAGAAAGATGTGTAATACTACACTGAAAGTTCTAAAATATTTCTGAGAAATTAAAGATGACTCAAGTTATGGAGAGATCTAACATATTCATGGATTAGAAGACTCAGTATTGTTAAGTATTATTAAATGTCCATTCTGCTAAAATGGATATATATTCAATACAGTCACAATTAAAATTCAAGCGGTATTTTTTTAATAGAAATGTATAAGCTGATTCTAAATGTCAATGTACATGTAAGCAATCCAAAATAACCAAAATAAATTTGAAGAGAAAAATAAGATTAGAGAATTTAACTTTATGTGACTTTAAAACTGACTATAAACCTACAGTAATCAAGAAAAATGTATTAGTAAAAGGATAAACAAATATATTCAACAGAATAGGGTCCAAAAATAGACCCATCTTGCCAAAACAATCCAATGGAGAGAGGAAAATCTTTTCAATAAATGAGGAACAACTAGATATCCATACTTAGAGAAAAACAAAAACATGACTTCCTATATCACACAATACATAAAAATCAGAGGTCTAAAAGTAAAAGCAAACTATATATCTTCTAGAAGAAAACACAGGAGAATATTTTCATAACCTTCTTAGAGAAGACACAGAAAGCACAAATCATAAAACAAAAATTTGATAAATTATATTTCACCAAAACAAAAAACTCATCAAAAAGCACCATTAAGAAAATGAGCTGGCAAGCCGTAGGCTAGGAGAAAATACATACAATACATACACGAGTTCAAGAATATATTTAATTTTTAAAAACGAGCCTTCACCAAAGAAAATTATACAGATGGCTAAAATCACATTAAAGAAGAGCTTAACATCATTAGCCATCAGAGAAATACAAAATAAAACCACAATGAGATTTCACTATAAACACAGGAGGACTGTGCAGTGGTTCTCAATGAGATACGGAGGTTTGCAATTTTTAGAGCCAGGAGACATTTGTAGTTGTTACTGGCATCTAGAATAGTGCTAAACATCCTATAATGTACTGGACAGCCCCACAAAACAGTTATCCTGCCCAAAATGTCAATGGTGGCAAAACTAAAAAACCTCTAATAGATTAAGTGAAAGAGACTAATAGCATCAAATATTGGGGAAGATGTAGAGCAACTGGAACTCTCTGATATATTACTAGAGGGTATGCAAAATGGTTCATTCACTTTGTTTGACATTTGACAGACATTACCATATTAAGTGCAAATGGATTCTTATCAAATTAAACGCCAAATGGTCTACAAGGCCCTGCATGATCTAAACCCAGTCTACTTCTCCAGCCTCATCTCTCATTTAACTGAGGCACAAGGATGATACAGTATTAGGAAATTTTTCAAAAAAGTCTACGTGATGGGCTTCCCTGGTGGCGCAATGGTTGAGAGTCCGCCTGCCGATGCAGGGGACACGGGGTCGTGCCCCAGTCCGGGAAGATCCCACGTGCTGCGGAGCGGCTGGGCCCGTGAGCCATGGACGCTGAGCCTGTGCGTCCGGAGCCTGTTGCTCCGCAACGGGAGAGGCCACAACAGTGAGAGGCCCGCGGACCGCAAAAAAAAAAAAAAAAAAAAAGTCTACTTGATTTTACTGACAGACATCTTAAAAATCCTGAGACAAAAGAAACCTTAATATCATTTAGCTCAACTTATTACCTAAAGCAAGGATAAATAATACATTCTTGACAGTGAAACATCTACTGTCTCTCACAATAAACACTAAGTTATGGCAAAAATCTCACAGATCTATTTGATAAAAACTAGAGAAACAACTAATGTTATATAAGTAATGGTCCTCTACTCTTTTTGTAAACTGAGTTAACTGGAGACCATTATAGTTAGTGATACTGCCTTAATAAACCTAACAATATAGGCTGAAAAAATTAATATGGTAGTTTAGAAAGATACTATCTATTTATAAATACCACAACTCATTTCACAAAAGAATGGAATCAGGTGAAAAACAGTGTTTAACTGGCCTAAGTCAGTATTATTCAATAAAAATATACTGCAAACTATAAATGCAAGCCACATATGCAATGTTTAAAAAGCAGATGAAGTCAATTTTGATAATACATTTACTGTATATGCAAATATATGCACATATATTATGTATAAAATATGCAAAATGGCCAATATAACCAAAAATATTATCACTTCAACGTTTAATCAACATAATATTTTTATACTATTTTATATTCCTTTTCTGTACTAAGTCTTCAAAATCCAATGTGTGTTTTATACTTACAGCACACCTCATTTTGGACTAGCCAAGTTTCAAGTGCATAATAGCCACATGTAGCTAGTGTCTACTGGATGCTAACGTCGCTTATAACATGACACACTTCAAGGAATTTTACATGGATTATTTCATTTAATCCTCCCTGAGGAACATACAGGGGAAAGTAACTTGCCCAAGTTCTCAAGGTTAGTTAGGGGTAGAATCAGGATTTTAACTTAATCAGCATGACTCAGATGTGGTCCAAACCACCATGCTATCTCACCTCAAATCAACTTTTTTCTTTTACAATATTACTGAAACTTTCAGTTAACCAAATTAATACTTTGATTCCTGCTTTGATATTACATATTCATTTTACGGACACCTAAATTTCCGGTCACAATATAAAACCTGATTTTCCCCCTATGATTTAGAAAATGAAAGAAAAGACTTACCATTAATATGAGTTTTTGATACTTTTGCTTCAGGTCTGACACACTTGCAGATGGGTCAGCCTCCAGAATGCTGTACCAATCCTTTTTTGGTATCTGCTCAAATGCCATCATCCCTCGAACAAGAAGTAGGCCTTCTCAGATCAACTGAATAGAAATATTAATGACAATTCATTACGGTTTGAGTGTATCTAAGAATTAACTAGGTACAGCTTCCCTAAGTTCTGTAATATTTAATTAAGTCACGATTATAATGCAAACCTTAAGTATATATTTTCATTCAAGACGCCCCAAGAATTTCATATATGAGTATACAGACAAGTGTGAAAAACCTGATAGTTTCATAATATATACGCTTACATCTTAAATTAATGAGTATACAACAGCATAAAAAAAAAAAGAAATCGATGATGAACCCGAGCGGTGGATGACCCTCTAAGAAATGTATTTCTGCTAGTCTCGTGGTAAAAGCGACACACAGTAAATACTCACTAAACACACTAGAGTTTAACAAATGTTTACAAAAAGAATAAATATTCTTAAAAAGCAAAACGAAGAATTAAAATGAATTTGGGAGCATTCCCTCTTAATGTCTCCAGTTCACTTCTTTTCTTCCAGATTACCTTAAAAGAATAACATGTGAAACGGGCAGTCAGCACCTGCAGGTAGAGAGCAACAGTCCCTCCGTTATCGGAGAGGCGCTAAGACCTCGCAAAGAGCTCCTGAACCTGTTCACTGGAGGATACGGCAGCCCTCCAGCAACCGAAAAACCCCTCTAGGAGCCCCAGAACCAGGAAACCTCTTCCCACAGCCATGAACTCAACGAGACATCCGGGGCTTCCTCAAAATTGGGACTCGGAAATCCTCTGCATTCACAGTCGGCTTTGTAGCCCAGCCACAGGCCGGTACTCTCTCCTGGCTTCACTAGATATCAAACTTACCAAACTTAGTAGAGCCACAGGAGCTCACTCCTCTCCGGCCGTCGGCCAAACCTCGGAATCCGTTTCTGCTTCCGCCGGAAGTCATTGCCCTGACGCGATCACGTTTCTAGCCGAGCCACAGTGGCTGAGGCACCGATCGGAAGCGCCGTTCCGCCCCCCTGGACGCGGTCGCTATGGTAACCCAGTCGCCGCTTCCACGGAGCTTACCAACCGTAAGTGCCCGAGGTTTGGAAAAAGGCGTCCTTCGCCTCGTTCTAACTCGCTCTTATCCTGGCTCCCCGAATGTCGCTTCTCTTCTCTCCCTCAGCGAGCACCCCCATCCCCCGGGCTTCCTCCGCCTTCCCCAAAGCTTCCTCCGCTTACTCTACCCAACGCCGAACGTAGTACTATGGCGGGGGATGGGGGGTAAAGTGGGGGTACTGTTGGGATTGGCGGGATGAAAAGGATGAGGAGAACTGATTCCTCCCGTCTCCCAAGACTTCCTTTGGAATGTTCTCATTCCAAAATGAAGAGGACTAAAACCTATGCTGAGTAAAGTTTTTCAGTTTTAATATTTTTTTCTGGAAGAGATGTTCAACTTAGTTATTTCTTTTAGATTTTAGCAACCAACTTGAAAAATGAAAACTTTTCAAAATCCTTTCAAACTCTTAGCAAGTCGTCCAGTTCCCAGGGTAGCCATGCTATCTTTCGAGCTCACAGAAGAAGCAGAATAAAACGCTCGCTTTGAGACTATTGCTGGGCACTCCAAATGGGCACTTAGTTTTTTTGTTAGTTTTTTCCTTTTTCCCTCTCCCTTCCATTTGTTCTGTTGTTCCCTTGTATTCTCAAACCTCTGTGCTGCTTACCTTATATTGACTATTCTTTCTTGCACTGTACCTGGAGGTGAAAATTCGTCTTAGTTCTCCGCAGCATGATATAAATCTCACTTGGAGATGTTAAGGTAGTTTTGTCGTTGTTACTGCTTAAATTTGCTTTCCTTCTTTTTTTATCTTTCTTCTACCAAACCTCCGTTTGAGAAGCCGTCAAGACAAACCCTAAGCACATTGAAGAAGATATTTTGATATGGTCAATTATTTAATGATGGTATGAACTATAAAGAATAACTGGATGATACAGGAAAGTTTAAAAATCTAAAGAGAAAAGTATAGTTTAGGTTCTTCATAGGATTTTGTCATGTTTAAGGACAGACACAACGAGCATTATACTAAGTCAGAGGATCTGGTTTTTAGTCCTGGTTCTAACATAGCTTCTGTGTGGCCCTAAGGATACCTAAAACGACAGATTTAAGTGTTCTTCTGAAAACTTCCCCATACAGTACTATCAGAATGGCACCCACTTGAATTTTTTTTTTTTTTTTTTTTTTTTTGGGTTCGGGGAGCCTCCCACAGCTGCGGCCTCTCCCGCCGCGGAGCACAGGCTCCGGACGCGCAGGCCCAGCAGCCCCGTGGCATGCGGGACCCTCCCAGACCAGCGTGCGAACCCGCGTACCCCGCATCGGCAGGCGGACCCCCAACCACTGCACCACCAGGGAAGCCCCCACTTGAATTTTTATAGCCCTCAAACTTCCCTTTTCCACTGCATAGTCCTTCTTTGTATAGATAGTTATGCTCAGGCCCTTCAGTTTTTATAGAAAGAGCACTTTATTTTGATTTATGAATCCATTAGTGTATTGTGTTCTCTCTTTTATTCCTTTTTTTGAACAAACTTCTGAAAACTCTAATCACAGTATCTCAATTTTTTCAATTTACATTTATATATATATATATTTATATATTTATTTATTTGAATATAGAGATACACATTTTTTGTCCCCACCAAATTCCAAATGTTCCTTCATTTCATATCAACATACTTTAGTTTGCATCCCTAAAGCATACTTTAGTTTGCAACTTTTTCTTTCATCTCCATAAAGTCATTATTCCACCAAAATTATCAATAATTCACTGATATTATCCAAATCTAGTGCTTATTTATATTTCCCTAGTTGTCTCAGAAATGTCTTTTTATGGTTGATTTGCTTGCGTCATGATCCAAAATCTACACATTGCAGTCGGTTGTTCTGTCTCTTAAATATCTTTTAAGCTATAGCAGCCCCAATTCTTCACTACTACCTTGTTTTTTATTTCTTTTTCTGCCATTGGCTTATTGAAAAAACAGATCAGTTGTCCTACCATCTGAATTTATACCAGAATAAACTTCTTTAAATACTTTAAACACTTTTTACATAAATCCTTGCTCATTAGTCTTCATTTTTTCATTTTTTAGAGCACTACTGTCCAATGGAAATACAGTGTAAGCCACAAACGCATACCACACATATGATTTTTTTTATGACATCATTATTGGAGTATAATTGCTTTACAATGTTGTTAGTTTCTGCTGTATAACAAAGTGAATCAGCCATATGTATACATATATCCCCATATCCCCTCCCTCTTGCCTCTCCCTCCCACCCTCCCTATCCCACTCCTCTAGGTGGTCACAAACCACTGAGCTGATCTCCCTGTTCTATGTGGCTGCTTCCCACTAGCTATCTATGTTACATTGGGTAGTGTATATATGTCAATGCTACTCTCTCACTTCGTCCCAGCTTACCCTTCCCCCTCTCCGTATCCTCAAGTCCATTCTCTATGTCTGCGTCTTTATTCCTGTCCTGCCCCTAGGTTCATCAGAACCATTTTTTTTTTTTAGATTCCATATATATGTGTTACCATACGGTATTTGTTTTTCTCTTTCTGACTTACTTCACTCTGTATGACAGTCTCTAGGTCCATCCACCTCACTACAAATAACTCAATTTTGTTTCTTTTTATGGCTGAGTAATATTCCATTGTATATATGTGCCACATCTTCTTTATCCATTCATCTGTCGATGGACACTTAGGTTGCTTCCATGACCTGGCTATTGTAAATAGAGCTGCAGTGAACGTTGCGGTACACGTCTCTTTTTGAATTATGGTCTTCTCAGGGTATATGCCCAGTACTGGGATTGCTGGGTCGTATGGCAGCTCTATTTTTAATTTTTTAAGGAACCTCCATACTGTTCTCCATAGTGGCTGTATCAATTTACATTCCCACCAACAGAGCAAGAGGGTTCCCTTTTCACCACACCCTCTCCTGCATTTATTGTTTGTAGATTTTTTGATGATGGCAATTCTGACCGGTGTGAAGTGGTACCTCATTGTAGTTTTGACTTGCATTTCTCTAATGATTAGTGATGTTGAGTGTCCTTTCATGTGTTTGTTGGCAATCTGTATATCTTCTTTGGAGAAATGTCTATTTAGGTCTTCTGCCCATTTTTGGATTGGGTTGTTTGTTTTTTTGATATTGAGCTCATGAGCTGCTTGTATATTTTGGAGATTAATGCTTTGTCAGTTGCTTCATTTGCAAATATTTTCTCCCATTCTGAGGGTTGTCTTTTCGTCTTATGGTTTCCTTTGCTGTGCAAAAGCTTTTAAGTTTCATTAGGTCCCATTTATTTATTTTTTTTATTTCTATTTCTCTAGGAGGTGGGTCAAAAAGGATCTTGATGTGATTTATGTCATAGAGTGTTCTGTGTTTTCCTCTAAGAGTATTATAGTGTCTGGCCTTATATTTAATCCACTTCACACATGTGATTTTAAATTTCCCAGTAGCTACATTAGGAAAAAAAAGAAACAAGTGAAATGGATTTTAATGATTTATTTATTTAACCCAGTATATCCAGAGTATGATCATTTCAGAATGTAATCAGTTTAAAAATTATTAATGAAAACTAATTATTAGTGAAATATTTTACATTCTTTATTCATACTGAAGTCTTCAAAAGCCGGTGTGTATTTTGCCTGTACAGCTTACCTCAGTTTGGACTAGCTACCTTTCAAGTGCTAATAGCCACATCTAACTAATGACTATCAAACAGGGCAGGTCTAGAGAATAAAGTCCTATCTCCTTAACCCAATATTCCTCCCCAGTATGATCCTACTTTTCCAGTCTCATCACCTATTACCTCTGTACATGAAACAATTAAACAATTTGGATATTTTCTTGGTACTTCATAATTTTGTTCAGATGGTTTGATGGTTCCTCTTGCTTATAACATCATAGCTCTTTTCTTCCTCCTATCAGTTTTATTCCTCCTTTAAGACCTATCTGTTCCATCAAGTCTTTTATGGTGGCCCAGTCCTTAGAAATTACTTCCTCCTCTCAACTTTCATAGCAGTCCT